AAGAAAGGCCCCCCCCCCCCGTCCCCCCCTTCCCAGTTAGCCACCATTCTTACCTCTAGCAGAGGTTAGTTTTGCCTGTCCTTGGCCCACAAGGTATGGAATCATGCAATATGTGCTTTCTCTGATCCAAATTACATCTCTGAAGTTCATCCACACGGCTGTGGATGGTGCCCTGGGAAGAGCACTGTTCTTGGTAGGTGAGAACTAACACCTGTGACCTACCACAGTAGTTTATTATTTTCTTACTTTGTTGTGTTGAGTTGTGTGAAGACATGTACATTATTTATATGCCCTCCTGCTGATGGTATCTGGGTTGGTTCCAGTTTGGGGCTATTGTGAATAGTACTGCTGGGAATATTCTTGCACATGCCTTAGGTCAGTGATGGCGAACCTTTTGAGCTCGGCGTGTCAGCATTTTGCAAAACCCTAACTTAACTCTGGTGCCGTGTCACATATAGAAATTTTTTGATATTTGCAACCATAGTAAAACAAAGATTTATATTTTTGATATTTATTTTACCTATTTAAATGCCATTTAACAAAGAAAAATCAACCAAAAAAATGAGTTCACATGTCACCTCTGACACGGGTGTCATAGGTTCGCCATCACTGTTAGTTGGAGTTCCCCTCAGTCAGAACACGCTTCCTGAAGGATTCTTTCCCAGGTCCTTCTCACATCACATTCTCCACTCCCCCGGTGGGTGCCCTACAATAAAACCAGTCCCCAGGAATAAAGGGGGGAATGGTAATATCACCAGCAACTCACTGTCCACTTCATTTTTAACCTCCATCAGATACGGCTGAGAGAGAGACTGGAAAGGGAGGAAGTGCAGGGAAGCATGAAGGACAGCACCCACCCCCGCCATGGCCCTCCAGGAAAAGTCTCTCCTCCTCTGGTCTCATCACTCCCCCTCCCTTCACCCCTTCCTCCTACTCCAACGGGCGCTGCTCTGGAGAAGCAACAGCTGATGCAGAGGCAGTTCCTGCCAAGAGCCACAAGCAGTTTCATTTGGCACAGGCTCTGAAGGAGAAACAGCCCTTTGTTCACCCACCAGAGGAAATGCCACCAACTCCTGCTACAAAAATTCCCACGCTCCCATCAGGCAGAGCAGAGAACATGTCCTCCAGCCCTGCCAAAGCCAGCTGGAGACAAAGCCCTTCCCTGCCACGGGGCCAGATGCAATGCAGAGCTGGACGCCCTGCCAGCGCCCCCACCCCCAACCCTGCAAAGACTGCCTTTGACTGAAGAGCTCAGGACACCACTCCTGCTTGAAATCTCCCAGCCCCCGCAGAGGCTGTCACCTTCAGCAGACACCATTTTTATCCTCCTCATTTCCACAGACTTCCCTCCAGATTCTTCTCTCAGGGACAAAAAAGAAACCTCAAGTCACGGTAAGGAGGTGATGACCCACACATGCCAGAGGCTGGTCAGAGCAAGGGAGGATTCTTAGCAATTCTCACCCCAGAGCAGCAGGGGATGGAGGCCTGCAGAGCACTTTTTACACACCATGTGCGCTCAGTGTTGCCCACGATTTTCAGGCAAACTCTCCATAAACAAAAAAAGCACTTCATGTGAATGAACCCTGACCTCATTTCTGAAGTAGCCTCACACATACACAAGTCTGTGTACATACAATTTACCAGGTCCACCTGTTATTGGGCAGAAGCTGCACACACACACACACACACACACACACACACACACACACACACACTCCCTCGGAGTCTCCTATCAGAGCAGATTTAGAGATTCTCTCACCTGTGTTTAAGAAGAAAACACTGTAGAAGGGAAGGACTAGAAAGTACACTTAATGATGTTAAATCCCGGTTTTCCAAGGGAGAACTCCACAAGTTTGGCTACAACAGCAATCCTGGGCTTTAACACAGAGGAGGAATTCTGCAGAATCCTGACCAAAGTTTGCATAAAGGGAAGTAGGGGGTTATTTTATCAGGAGTTGTGCTTCTCACCAAAGGAAGTAGACAGAAACATTTTCAAAATACTTAGCTCTTAGCTAAAGAGAATTCTGATATTAAAGTGAAATTGAATCCTCATAGTTCTATCACTGTCCTCACAGTATGTCTTAAAAACCCTCCTACTGAGGTGAAGCGCTTAGTTATCTAATAAAGAAAATTCTCTTGATGGCTTCAGAATGACTCACTTAAAAAATAATTCCCACCTGACACCCTGTAGCCAGAAAGACTCTGCCGAAGGTGTGCAGGCCCCCTGCTCCTGAGGGGCTATCAGGGCGCTCGTGGTCCAATTCCTCAGCAGGACAGCAGCGGTCCCCCCTTCCAGCTCCCCCGACTGTGTGGACCCACACTCAGCCCCTCAGCTTCCTCCCCACCAACAGCCCCAGGTTGGTCTCCCCTGCCTCCCACCCTTACCCTCGGACACCTTAGTCTTCTCCCAGCATTTAGGCATAAGCAGGATCAAAAATCTTGAAATTATCCCCTTGTTGAGAGATGGCTAATTCTTTTTTTTCTCCTTTTTCTGTAATAGAGATTCACTAACATCACCTAACTTTCTAAACTCTATTTTACTAAATACTTATACAAATGATATCTGGTGCATAAATTAAACACACATAAAGTTATTATTGCTTTATGACATCTCTTCAAATTTCACATATTCTTGGGGGCAAGATCACCAGAGAGCAGACACTGGAACAGGAATTCCCTCATGCTTTTTTCTTACATCCCCAACTGGACTGAAAGTTCTTCAGGGCAGAGGAATCAATGAATAAAGGGAAAGCATTAACTGTAGGCAGCAGTGGCTTTAGGAGGGTTTCTTCTGAGTGTATTTTTTTTAAATGAACTTTATAGTTTATTTAATTGTAATATAAAGGTAATCTATATATATAAAACCCTAATATGCAAATAGGCCAAACAGTGGAACAACCAAACAACTGGTCACTATGATGTGCGCTGACCACCAGGGGGCGCACGCAGAACATGGTGGGCGTCAGCAGCAGGTGGCAGACCATGGAACATGGCGGGCACCAGCCACAGGTGAGCGGGGATGCCAGACCAAGGCAGGGCACTGGTCTCTGTTATCTGGGCGAGCCACTGGTGGTTGCTAAAAATTCTTTGCTCCTGCACACTGTGGTCCCACCCACCACTCACACCCGCTGCCAGCACCCTGTGCCAGCCCCAATTGCTTGGCACCGTCAGCAGGTGTGAGCGGCGGCTGCTGGCCCCAATTGCCCCTCAGGGCTTCTCCACCTCC